GAGGGAGAAGCAGGCTTCCCGCCGAGCAGGGAGCCCGATGTGGGAATTGATCCCAGGACCCTGGGATCATGACCTGAGCCGAAGGCAGACGCTTAACGACTGAGCCACCCAGGCGCCCCTGTACGGGAACCTTTTTAACAACCTTCTTTGTTACCAGAAAACAGAAACAGCCAGAATAGTTACCATCGGTGGGATATATAAGTTAGGAAGTATGAACACAGGGGAATGCTCCTTGACACAGAAAATGACTCCACTGAGTCAGCATAGTGAACCTCACAGACTCGACACAGAAATAACACCATGAGTTCCCATGAAGAAAGTTCCGAGTTGAGGTAGCCGACTGTCAGGGAGTGCTCGTTCGGGGGTGATGCAGGCACGCAGGAGGGCCCGCAGTGGCCCCATAGAGGGAAGGCCAGTGGTGGGGAAGGCGCTGCCCCCGACCACCCTCGGTGTGGGTCCCTGGAGCTGTAGGGCTGTGCCTCCTGGGCTTGTGGCCGCTGATGCATGGTGTTCTGCTCTCTCCAAAGCCCTGCTGACTGGGGTGCACATCCGTGAAGCGTGCCTGTTATTCTTTTCCTTGCTGAGTAGTCGAAGTAAAAAAGACAGATTTTATGTTTTGCTATTCTAGATTTCTGCTTTGAAGGAGTTTTCATATTCTCTCTTAATTTTTTTTGAAGATTTTATCTATTTGAGAGAGAGGAAGCACAAGCAGGGGGAGGGGCAGAGGGAGAGGGAGAAGCAGGCTTCCCGCTGAGCAGGGAGCCCGATGTGGGAATTGATCCCAGGACCCTGGGATCATGACCTGAGCCGAAGGCAGGCGCTTAACCAACTGAGCCACCCAGGAGTCCCAAGGCTTTTAGTATTCTTAAAGGTTGTTGACTTTTTGGAGGAAAATCCAATTTTATTATTTATTTATTTACTTTAAATTTATTTATTTTTAAAACTCCAGTATAATTAACGTATTGTTGTATTAGTTTCAGGTGAACCACATAGTGATTCAGCAGTTCTGTACATGACTCAGTGCTCATCCTGATAAGTGCGCTCAATCCCCTCACCTGTGTCCCCCTCCCCCATCCAGAAAACCCAAATATAAAGCAGTGAAGTTGCGTTTTATCATACTTGGATTTTTTAACTCTAGCCTTAACTCTTCCGTAGGAAGAGACCCCAAGATGGGGAGCTGGCAGAGTGGCTCGGCTCCACGAGGTGGCTGAGGAGATGGGGTCTTTCTGACTTGCCCGACTGTCATCCCAGGGCCCTGGCCTGTGTGTGGGTGAAAGTGTGTCTCTATTCCAACTCATACAGAGGAAGTCAAGCAGTTGTGGGTTTTGCTTTTTCCTTTTCTTCTTTTTTTATTAAGATATAATTCGTGTACTGTAGAGTTCGCCCACTTAAAGTCTGTAGGTCGGTGGTTTTGGTGTCTTCGCAGAGCAGCGCGGCCATCACCACAGTCAGTTCTGGGACGTCAGTCCTTTTAGCCAGGGCAGGGGGCCCACAAGCTGTCTGCCTCCCGGGACCCGAGCGTCACCCGAGCGTCAGGCCGCTACAGCCCGCGGGCACCAGGGAGCTGCCGGGCGGCGGGGAGGCATGTCTCCCACCACCACAGCGCTGTCTCTCATTGCAGGTGTGACAGCACGGAGAAGCTGAGAGCCCTTCTGCCGAGACTGGAGCAGGAGCTGAAGGACACGGTGAAGTTTAAGGATTTTTATCAGTTTACCTTTACCTTCGCTAAGAACCCCGGGCAGAAGGGTTTAGGTGAGCGTAAAATCCACGTTCGTAGGAAGCCACATCTTCATGAGACTGACAGTGGGTACAACCAGCCAGGTGACGGTCCTGCCACGGCCGTTCCTCCTGAGCGGTCCTTTCTCCGCAGGTTGCACTGCGCCGCTCGCGGGCGGGCCACCCTCTACCACCAGCATTTGGTAGTCACTCTCCAGCTCTGGGTTTAAATATTTAAATTTCGGGCGCCTGGGTGGCTCAGTCGGTTGGGCGACTGCCTTCGGCTCAGGTCATGATCCTGGAGTCCCGGGATCGAG